TCACTGTCACTGTCACTGTCACTGTCACTGTCACTGTCACTGTCACTTTTTCTCCCTCCAAGTAGTTGGTGCTCTATTTCTGGGCTAGGTTGAGTCTTCGCTGATCGTCTGGTTTCCAGGTGTGTGTTCTTATACCCCCTCGTCCCGACCTTCCAGAATGTTCTGTGGTCTTTGGCCAATGGGGTCATGAGCAGGGCTGAAATCATCCAATGGGGTCACAGCAGCATCTTTCACTGCTGCTATGCCAGGAGGTGTAAAGTGCATGTCCTCAGTCAGTCACAATGCTGGAACACCTGATTGACGCTTCTCCAATACACAACCCTTGGGCTGTTTGTATCTGATGCACCTTAGCCTAACTCCCTGTATATCTGAGCTCGCCATTGTAGAAAGACAATAATACACTATACATTAATTATTTTCCTTACGCACACCCTCAAACCTCTGTGGCCATTATCACCACTCGAAAGAGTAAAATTTACACCATTCAACAACTTACATGTTCTTTTGCGATGCAGTCCGGGATCATTACTTTCTTGGCTCCTGCTGTAGGAGCATAGAGTCCATAGTTAGTTTCTGGATGAGTTCCTTCTTCCAACAGACGAATTTAACCGTCAGAACAGTGAGGTTAATCCAAGTAAACAGGATGAACATCACATGGCAGGAGTTGTACCCAAAGGTGTTTCTGCACATTTGAGCCCCAGTCACAGAAATTATCCCACTGATTAGTCACTTTGATTTCCCTGATACCCTTTCGAATTTGTTCTGTCTGCTGAATAACAGCAGCAAAATCTTTACGTGCATTCGCCAACAGGTCCAGACTTGATGTAATTTTTCTGGTAGGAGTTCAAGGCCAGTGTTTTACTTCTCCCAGTAATCCTCTAAAGTTGTCAGAGTTTGTCACTGACATCGATAAAGATGTCACTCCTCCTGTGGATGTCTGTGTGCTCAATTAGGCCTACCCTGGCTGGTACCTGCGGCCTAACACAAAAGGTATGGTTTTTGATGTCATGTGTGAAGGTCCTGTACTGGTAGTGTTTTAGGCAAGTTGTGATTCCGAGTTCTCCTTTCCCCCTATGCACTACCCTGGTAATGTCTTTGTTCAAGTTTTGTATCTGGACACTACAATTTAGAATGGTTTTTGTCTGAAAACCACAGAAGACATGTTTATTTGAATAAATGGGGTAGGGGCACACAATTACTTCTTTTGTCTGTTGACATTTAGTCAGCCTGGTACTTATGAGCCTTCCCTCATTCTCTGCCAAGATGAAAAATGGCCAAAAGACAAAAATGATGATGATGGCTGTGTATCATACGGTATAGTGCTCTAACCCTGTACAGCCAGAGTGGATTGGCAGATTCAGGCCACAGCGGTTGCAGAGATTTATGACAATGTTCTTGTGAGTGAGTGAAGCAGGCCCCCTGATTAGGCAGGAGGGCTCCAACTGTCAGGCATTTGTTCCTCTACGACATCTTGGTAGAAGTGTGGGAATGACTGCATTCATAAAGGGGCAGACTGTGGGCTAGAGTGTCCCCCAGGATACTTTATTGGGTGGACTGGCTCTATACATCACTTTCGCATCAGGCCTGCCTCTTCTAGCTGGAATTGGTGTTGCCTCAACCTCAGGAGGGACAGTGTCTGGGACATGTCCAGGATCCTGGCTTGGATCAGTAACTGGAGCTGTTCCTGGATCAGGATTGGGAATTTGGATTTGGTTTGCCTGGTCCAGGGTCTGGATTAGGACTCAGGTTCTTACAGTCCCACTTCCCCCAGTTCTCGTAGAAGCATGTAGAGTTGGTGATTGCTGTATTGGGCTTTGGGAGACTTTCACTGACTAACATTGTACCACCCAGTATTAGGCAGAGTTAGTCAATTATCACAGTCATCCTGGCTTTGTAACAGAGAATATACAACGCGATGGTTGGCATAGCTAAAATGGATGCCTGGGCTCAGATGGTAATGTTGAGAGGGGATGACTTAAATGGAACAGTTTGATGAGAATGTGTGAAAGCTCAGACAAATGGGATTGACAGGGAGTGTCAAAGATAAAAGGCAAATGAAGGTTTGGATGGGGGGAGGTGGGAAGGGGTCAGCTAGATTAACATACTGAGCCTGTGGGTCACTCAGACAAGTGAGACATCTGTTGTCTTCCATCCCTATCTGAATTGCAAACAAATAATGGAAGTGAAAAATGGCTCACATCACACCTGCTGTGGACAGATTAGATGTTCTTTTCTGTCCTGAGACGGGCGAGACACTTCAAGAGGCAATTGCTTTCATCAGGCATTTACACAGTAATGGTTAAAGACATCAGTAATCATAGAAACCAGCATGTGAAATGTATGGTGGACAGATCCTGGTCGTATGCAATCTTGATCCTGTCACCGGTCACTACAAACTGATCACACTCACCTCTGTGAAGCAGAAATGATCACAGTCTACCTTAACCATGTCACCTGCTGGATCACAATTGAGACTGTACAAGATCTCTTACACTGCAAAAGGACACAGCTGATTTTCTCTCACCTTGAACTGTCAGTATTTGCAAACATGCCTGTCTTTCTTCTGTGATACAGAGGGTGGGGGTAGGTGTGTAACGGGACAAGATTTCATTAATCCTACCACATTTACAAGTTCCTACTGTAATTACTTGACATGACCTATGCTGCATTCATCAGAATAAAAAGGTAAAGCTACTATAGTCTTATCAGGCCACAGGGTTACTCTCTCATTAGAGAGAGACAAATGGTGTTGGTTTTAACCTGAGGATCAGCACGTCTCAGGTCAGGGGAGAAGTTGCAAAAGGGAATCCTTGATGATACCTCAGGTGGTGTGTCAGTGTTGGCACCACTCTGCACCGCAAACCCACCATTCAGCCAACTGAGATAAATCAAAATCCCATGTTAAAAGTCTTCCATGGTTCTCCTTGTCTGAATAGTACATGTCCTACTTTATGCAGAACTTTGCAAAATGGTAATTTGTGAGTGGTGTAAACGCTGACTGCTCACATTTTTAAGGACCTATTGAGTTTCAGATATTCCCCACACAGGATCATTAGAACCTTGTTTAATGGATAATGATCAGAAAGGGGTTATTGTCACTTTGGCCCCAGTGCAATGCAGAGAAATTGAGAAGGATCAGATGTGTCAGCAAGCCCAGGGCCAGCAACAACCTCCAGTGGCTGCCGAACAGCCTCCACATGAAGAGGTCACAGTTGAAGATCCCCTCAGGATGCAGTAGAGGTACTGCATGCCCAGAGTCTATCATCCTCAATGCCACTTTCCCCAAGAGTGAGGCATAGCGCTGCTGCAGACTGAGTTTGTTCTGAAACACTGTCACAGAGCTATGTTATCTGCTGAAGTGGGACCTGTGACCTGAAGGGGTGTGGCCATCCCATCCCAGCAGCCATCAAGGTGACAGCTGCATTAAACTTGATATTACTGGCTGCTTCCAAGCATCTACTGGGGACCTGTGTGCAATCTCTCAATCTTCCACCAACAAATGTATTCAGGCTGTTACTGATGTAATTTGTGACGGATCACATCGCTTCATTTCCCTGCGACGAGGTCAGCGCTGCAGCCTGGTTGGTCAGCACAGCCAATGTAACTGGCATCCCCCAGGTACAGGGCACTATAGACTGTATGCCCAGCATGGTGAAAGCATCATCATAACACAGCTGACTTCATCACCAGAAAGGGGTTCTATTCCATCATTGTACAAGTCATCAGTGATCAACGGTACCACATCCTAGATGTCTGGGTCAGGTATCCTGGGAGCTGCCATTATGCCTATATCTTTGTGAACTCTCATGTTTGTTCTTATGCCTTACAATGATAGTCACTGGGAGACAAGTGCTACCCTCTGTAACCATGGCTGATGACTCAGTTACAGAGGACCCTGAAAGAGGCTGAGTATAATTACAATGCTCCCATTCTTCATCCTGGGCCATTGTGGAGCAGACGATGAATCTCCTGAAGGTGAAATTCCAATGCTTGGATCGGTCTGGGGGGAGCTTGCAGTCCTCTCTGTAATACAATCTTTTCTCTTTTGCCCTCTCTGGTTTTCCAAAACTAGGTCCGTTAATGAACATACCACCCCTGCCTTACAAGTTTAAATCCACCCCCACTTCACTATTTACTCTCAACCAGTAGATTAGTTCCTTTTCTGTTCAAGTGAAGTCCATCTCTTCTGAACAGCTTTCTCCTTTCTCAAATGTGATCCCACTGTCCCAAATATCTAAACCCCTCCCTTCTACACTATCCCTCAAGTCTCGCATTTACCACCTTAATCTGCCATTGTCCAAATGGTGACGTTCGCTGTACAGGTAGTATTTCTGAGATTACTATCCTAGAGGTCCTGTGTTTAAATCTACTCCTTAATTTCTGAAACTGATCCTGCAATTCCTCCAAGCTATCCCTCCCAATGTTGTTAGTTCCCACATGAGCCACAACTCCCTTTTTAGAAGTTTACCCAGCAGTTTCGTTACGTCCTGATTCCTTGGTCCCGGGAGGTAACAGACCACATGCGACTCAGGATCTTGGCTGCAAATGAGACTGTTTATCCCTTGAACTACTGAGTCACCCACTACTACCTTACTAATCTGCCAACCAACCTCTTTCTCTTTTCCCAGAATAGCCTCCGGAACCATGGTACTGTGGCTTTCCTTGAGTCATCCACCACCCAGACTCAGTCATGTTGCTTTGTTGTCCCGTACCTAACTTTCTCGTAATATTGCAGAATATCAAGGGGGATTATATGTTGCAATTAAAATTGTTACACTGCCTCACGGTTTGGCTGATTTCAAAGACCAGAAATCTTCGACACAGTTGAAGTATCTTTAAGATATAAACTGGCCCTTACACTGTACCCTGCAATTCACTTTTAAGAAGCAAGATCATGAAACAAAAACTGAATGTGCTAGAAACAGTCAGATGGATGGCTGCGGAAGAAGGAGCAAATATTAAGGTTTCATATTTTATGACTCTCTGCAAGAACAGTGATTGGGACTAACCTTTTTGAGTTTACGAATGAAGAGAGTTAGAAGCAGCCAGAAGAGTGCAGCAGCAACACAGGTACATGTCAGTGTGATCAGCTCCAGGTTTGAATTCTCTGTCGGTCCTAGAAAATAATCAGTAAACATTGGAAAATACAGAAACCCCTCTCCTCTAAAACCTTTGAAAGTTTCTGGAATTTTGCATCTCCAATTATTTTAGAAAATACAAGTTCTATAATTTTATTCTCATTTTCTATGTTTCTGTTTGATAATGTATATGCTAGAAAATTGACTGTTCAGATTTAATTATCCAGCAGTAACCTTGCCAGGCATAATCTTGTGCCCTCTTCATGGTGGGCTTTGTGACAGGGAACACTTAGTTTTGAGGAGTGAAGCAGGTGAGGATCCCACCACTTTTTGCCTCCACTCAAGTTAAGTCTAGAACAGGAAGAAGAAATCGAGGCCTTCCCATACCACAGCTAATTGAGCTCCTTAAGTAGGCAACTAATTCCCACATGCAGGTCTCACCTTCCCACCCTTGGTATTAATCCAGTGCCAGACGGTGATGGAAGTGGAATTTGCCATGTGAGGAACCAATGAACAAACTTAAGCAGGGTTACTTGCTAGCATCTGGAAGGGTGTTTCGCTCAAATGTTTCAGTGCCTGAATCAGGGACACAGCATTGTGAAGGACAGAGGGGTCAGACTACAAACCACTCATTGGCTTCGCTACTGACCCACTCCATCATCACTCTGCCCTGGAATCCTGTGACCATTCTAACTTTCAGAATGGTTGGGAGGTGGTGGGAAGGGAATTTAGCAATGAACAGTGTGCACTCACTGTCATTATTCTTATATAGTGGACTACACCTTCAGGAGATAAGATGCGCAGTTTAGTGTAAAAATCCTGACATTGCAGCCTGTCACTCTGAGCTCTGATATAAAGTTGCATTGTGGTCCTCCAACCACCAGGGTGGGTAATTACTGAAATCAGCAAGAATTTAACTTTGCTGCACATACTCATCTTCTGCTACAACAATATTGCTGTCAGAAACCCCTTTGAAAGGACAATGATTGGAAACAATAGGAAAAGAACCTGATCACACATGGGAAAACCTTTTTAAATAGCGAGTGGTTAGAATCTGGAATGTGTTGCCCGAGAGAATGGTAGAAACAGATTCAATTGTTTCAAAAGGGAAATAGATAACCATCTGAACAGAAAAAAGAGTGAGGTGAAAGGGAAATGGCAGAGAAATGAGACTCACTGAGTGGCTCTTGCATTGATAAGAAAACTTGGAGATGGGCCAAATGAACTCTCTCTGTGCTATATTCATTCCTTGATTTTATGAAAGTCCTTCAGGATTCTTGAGAAGATGATGGCTAACATTTTAATTGTGTTTTTTCAGCTTGCCTATTCATGCATGGACTGCTAAATCTGTCTTCATAGTGATGACATTGTATTTCTCTGCATTGAGTTCCATCTGCCATCAAATTCCTTTTGTAATATTCAGCTTCCATCCATAAACCTCAGCTTAGCATTTTCAGTAAACTGGGAAATTCTGTCTTCTGTTTATTCAACATAAGTCATTGATAAAGTGAAACCTGAAGGCCCTGTACAGATTCCTTACAGTCACTACTAGATCACATCATGACAATTGACAAGAATACCAATTATCCACACTCTCTGTCTCCCAAGTCCTCTCTAAAATGCTGCCCATGTCAGAAGATTGTGCTACCAATATTTCAATGAAATAGTTGTTAAAGCATTGACAATAATCAAAAATCAGTTTCTGCACAGAAGCTCAGGTGAATAAGGTGAAACTACTGAGATGGAAATTGAAGCAGCATTCATCCCACAATGTTTCTTCTAAAAATTATAAAATCTAGATGGAAGAGTCCTAACTTGTGGTTTCATTACAACACATTATAAAATTATTTTAACACGTCTCATATTTTCTGCAAGTTACCTCGAACAGTGATGTAAGCAGAAGTCTCCACAAAGCCTTTCCTGTTTGCGGCATGGCACTGATATAAACCTTCGTCCTCTTCTTTGACTCTTTCAATAATTAAGGTTTTGCTTCCTGGTCCGAGGGTAATACCTTTGTACGAAGTATATGAGATAGAAATTAGACCCAAGTATTTCACACAGCCTTATCTTGTTTATAGTTAGGTTCCATTTACTTAGATATACACTGAACTGCCAGACAGCAATCTAATACTATGACATCCTGCATGATACAGATACACTGTTATAAAAACACTGTCTTTATGGGAAAAAAAAACAACTTCCTATTTAGTCTATCCTTAATGATATTGTCCAAATCATTCAGGAGTTAAAGATAGTATCGGGTCTGGGGTATTTTGCCTATATGTTGATGCATTAATTAAGTTCAAAGTCAATCAAATTTTTGGCTGTTCACTTTATATAGACGTAAAAGATGTCAGAAGAAAAGAAACAAAAAGTTAATCATGCTAGTGGATGAATTACAATGCTAGTTTATCAGTGTCACTGGAACACGGAATGTTACAGCTCATATGCAGAAAACTCAGGTTTCTCTCTTTTTTCGAAATGCCTACTGTAAATTTTTTCCAATTCATTGCCCTTTCCCATTCCCACTCCTTTTAAACTTGAGAATGGGGCTTATGTGGCAATCACTTGTTCACCAGAGGTTGGAGGTACCCTGGTGTGACTCAGTGATCATTTCCTCCAGCTTGTGGGAAAGTATCAAACATTTACTCAGTGCCTTTCCCTAAAGGCATAGACAATACCATGAACATGCAGCTTAGGAACTGTAGACATAAATCCATTTCCTAAATGGCCCAGCATTTTGAGCTACTCATACGTTGTATCATTTCCCCAAATTGCATCTTAGAATAAAAAATCATGTTTAATACTAAACAACAAACAATAAACACACATAGTGCAAGAAAGATAAGGAGCAAAATAATTATTGTGAAAATCATCTTTAACATAGCTTCAAAATTCTGAAGCAGTTGAGCTTTCAGCACTGGCCTAAAGTGCCGGTATTTTATATATTCAATTTTTAAATGACAATCACAAAAGATAAACTTATCACTTTAATAATATCGCAACTTTATGAAAACAATTACTAGAAAATTTTAAGATATGAAAGGCTACATTATTTTTGACTGGTTAAAGCATCAAAGGAGCATTATAAATACACTGAGCATTCACACATTAGTCTCGACAATAGTAATTTCCAAATCAATATTATAAACATGTAAATTTTGAAGAAACCACACCTGATTCCACAAGTAACCTCCGGTTGTTTTTGTACCATATGATTTGTGGCATTGGTCTTCCCTCCACATGGCACTCCAAAGTAATTGAACTACTGACATTCACCTCTTGGTTACTTAGGTTGCGCAACAGATATGGGACTTGCTGAGCTGAAATTGAAGCATTCATAGTCATAAGTTAAAAAGATAATAGTTGGATATCACTACAAAATATATTTTCTATGAAGAATGCCAAAAATTTTACTGTGATATTTCTGATAGCAGGTTATTGCCTTTCAGGTTATATGTGGCAAAGTATACCACCTAGAATGCTTGATTTTCAGTGTCCAAATTAAAATAAGAATAAAATGCAAGTCCTTCAATTAGATATACATAAATATATGTTTAAAAGGCAATATTTGAACAATAGAATAGGTTTAAAAGTATAGAGATAAAAAATGTGTATTTCAGATATTTTCAATGTAAAAACAGTCAATGTTCTATTTTGTATTACTACCCTGGAAAAAAAAGAATGACCAGTTTGAAAATAGACATTTTCTTAAGCTGAACAGAATACAATGAGTGTGGTGACAGTGGGAAGGGATTATCCACTTCGGCATTGTACCAAGAGTTTGGTGCTACCTGTGAAATTATGCAGAAAGGGGTGAAGGGAATCAACTGGGAGAAAAATTAGAGTAACAAACAATATGTTATCTGTAAGTACGAGACAAGTACATTTGCTTGGTTTAGGTAAAACTAACATGCCTGGAACATAATTTAAAACTTGCCAATTATTTGCACAGAAACTTTCACAATTACTGTCTACAGTTTTCCCCTTCAAGAATAAAATCTCTGTGAACCTGGTATCAAGGGGGGAAATTCTATTGTTTACTTTCTACCCACCACAAAAGCTATTCCCATGTGAAAGATAAGTTCAGTTTCAGGGCATTGTGCCACTTTTTAAAGAAGGAAGTCCGCTCAGAAGTTCACAAGCATGAGAAACTGTTTTGGATTTCGTCAGTTTGGTTCCACCCCTCTCAAATGAGTCGCTATTTTTTTATGGGACATGCCTTACTACGTGCTACTGAAGGTTTTCATTCACAACAATGTTCAGATCTATAAAGTTTGTTTTTATGTTCCACGTTTTAACCACTAGTGTTCAGATACATTCAACAAAAAGATGATAAGAGGGACGTGATTTCCAGCATGTAATAACATTCATGTAGTAATGAAGCCAGACCAACTAATTGCCAATCTGTCAATTAATCTTGCTTTTTTAAAAAATTGATGCAAAATGGAATAACATATTAATCAACTTGTCACAAAGCCAGCTGGCATACCGCAGTACCACACATTTCTGAGACAACCATACAAATCCTCCGCTGCTGAAGGCCGCTGCTATTGTTTCATTAATAAAACAAACATGCTCTAAAATATAATGCTTTAGCCCTTTCTGAGCAGCAATTCTGACAGCGGATACAATGTGTACATTTGTTAGTAAAATAATAAAGATTCACAAGCACACAGGAGGAAACAAAAGCAGACAATTTGCGCAGTCTTGCAGTGTGGCAGGGGCAGTCTGTGTTGTAATAAACACATCTGAAAGAGCACTACTGTATCCTCGCCAGCACTCTTTAAAAATCAGTTTATGATAAAACGACAATAATCCCTGTCACACGCTCTTTTTGCTGTTTTTAGTCACCTTTCATCAGGAGCTTCTGGATTGGAGGAGTTACGCTCAGAAAAGAAGCCAAATTAACAAATGCAATCAAAGTTGAAGCAAGGCTATCAATCCTCACCAGATTTCATCTCCACCACAGTGTCAGTGACTCAATATTCAGATAATCATTAGAAAGAGAAAAAATACCACTTAATTAATAAATTAAGCACACATTTGATAATGCTATCTTATGAACATATTGATAAAAAGAATTCTTCATTTACAAGGAGATTTCTGAAGCGTATCCTGCACATGTCTATCATAGTTCCTTCTTGGTTCATGGAATTTCTGGTAAGTACTTCATACATAGTTTACCAAAGTTATGTTACTTTTAGCTTTATAGTTTGACAGATCCTTAAAGATAACTGTTGTCTTATGAATAAGGTATGTTTATTTTTCCATTCTGCGATAAGGTGTTTGCAGTTCGGTTATTCAGAAATTGGCTCAGTTTTGGCTTAAGCAAAATCAGGCCCTGGACTAGTAATCCAGACATCCAGGACCTAGTTTCAAATCCCTTCACAGGAGATGGTGGAATCTGAATGCAATAAAGAACATGGAATTAAAAGTCAAATGATGAAACTCATCTGGTTCATGGACATCCTTTAGGGAAGGAGATCTGCCATCATTACCTGATGTGGTCGACATGTAACGCCAGATGCATGGCAATCAAGTTGACTCTTAATTGCCCTCTGAAATGGCCTAGCAAGTCACTCAGTTGTACCAAACTGGTAAAAGTCTCAAAAGAGTTACAAAAAGAAATAATGGATCACTGGATTCAACCTAGGTACTGGAAACAACAACTGCAATTCAGACCCTACAAAGCCTTCCTTACCAACATCTGGGAGCGAGTGCTCAAAACTAGGAGAGCTATCTCACAGACTAGTCAAGCAACAGCCTTACATAGTCTTACTCATGAAATTATATCTTCCAGGCAATGTCCCAGGCAACATCATAACATTCCCTGGAAATGTCCTGACCCATCAGTAGGACAGATCCAACAGAAAGTGATTTGAGTCAGGATGGAGTTGCCCTGGCAGTCCTTAACATCAACTCCAGTCACCATGAAGTCTCATGGCATCAGGTCAAACATGTGCAAGAAAACCTCCTGCAGGTTACCCCCAAGTACCATCCTTTCTCAGCTGATGAATCAGTGCTCCTCCACATTGAACACCACTTGAAGACAGCACTGAGTGTCATCAAGGATCCCTAGCAAAACTGAAGTCAATTGGACTCAGGAGGAAAACTCTCTGCTGGTTGTCATACTTGGTACAAAGAAACATGATATTGGTTGTTGGAGGCTAGTCATCTCAGGTCAGGTCATCTGGAGTTCCTCAGGGTAGTGTCCAAGGCCCAACCATCTTCATCTGCTTCATCAATGATCTTCCCTCCATCATAAAGTCAGAAGTGGGGATTTTCACTGATTACTGCATAGTGTTCAGCATGATTCACCAAATACTGAAGAAATCTATGTCCAAGTACATGGACAATTCAAAGTTTGGGCTGACAAATGGCAATTAATATTCATTTAGCACAAGTAACAGGCAATAACTATCTGTAAAAGGAAACATCAATGGCTTTACCATGTCTGAATCCTCCATTGCCAATGTTCTGGGGGTTACCATTAATCATGAGTAACAGCTTAGATCACAAATCCATCAAGAAGTGGTCAGCACATAATATTCTCGAGATATTATACAAGCTGCCAGAAGAAGCAGTGGAGGTGGGTACAAATATAACATTTAAAAGGCATCTGGATGGGTATATGAATAGGAAAGGCTTAGCTGCATATGGGCCAAAAGCTGGCAAATGGGACTAGGTCAGATTGGGATGTCTGGTCAGTGCGGACGAGTTGGATTGAGGGGTCTGTTTCCGTGCTGTATGACTACAGGAAAAGGAGAGAATTGATCCTGTTAGGAGTTCCCTGAGCAGAGTGTCTAAGACATTTGACAGAGTCTCTCATCACCAGAACTTTTCACAAGCACAAGACATAGCTTGGCTGGTGGTGAGAAGGTACTGTTTGTCAGATCCTTCATGCACACGCCGGTCGCTATGCGCTACCACACACTGTGCTGATGAAGAGACTGTCACACATCTCCTTCTGGAATGTGCCTTTACAAAGCATGTCTGGAGAAAGATGCAGCAGTGTTTGTTGAGGTTTGTCCTGAGCAACTCAGTGACGCAGGATTCTGCTTTACGGTCTGTTCCCTGGGACGCACCTATTACAAACATTGATAATGCCTGGGAGACCGTCAACTCAGTGAAAGATGTTCTTTGGTCTGCCTGAAATTTGCAGTCTTCCAGAGCGAGGAGTTGATCTCAACCAGGTTTTGCAGACTGGCACATTCTAAGGTCCAGGACAATGTGCTGAGGAATGCACTAAAACCTGGGGCAGCTGCCGCTAAGGCACAGTGCTGAAATACCACCATCTAGGGTCTTTCTGCCAAAGTATAATGATGGTCCATTCAATTGTCAGCCTGCCTCGTTGCCCTCAGAGTGAATCTAAGTGTTTTCCTGCATGAGTAGAAAATGCCTTTGCTTTGCAACTGCAGGGAAGCTCTGAGGAATGTCAAATTGCAATGCAGTGTTAGTTTATTCTATACAAAGAACTGATTAGGATCTTTTGTATGTACTTCTCGATATTTTTTATAAGTAATGTATATTTTTGAAATAAAGAAGAATTAACCATGAGTAACTCACCTGTTGCCTCTTGAAGCCTGTCCACAAACTGCAAGGTGTAAGTTAGGAGTGCAATGGAATACTGCTCGCTTGCCTGGATGAGTGCAACTCCAACAACACTCAAGAAGCTCAATTCCATCCAAGACAAAGCAGTCCTTCACTTGGTACCTTATCTTCAAACAATCAGAACCTCCACTACCAATGCACATTGATAGCAGTGCGTACCATCTACGAGGCACTGCAGTAACTCACCAAGGCTCCTCCAACAGCACCTTTCAAATCCGCAACTTCTACAACTTCGAAGGTCACGGGCATGACAAGACCATCTTCTGCATGTTCTCCTCCAAGATGCACATCTTCCAGACTTGAAACTATATCACCATTCTTCGAGTGTTGTTGCCTCAAAATCCTGGAAATCTCTCCCTAACAGCATTGTGGGTCTATCTATACTAAATGGACTGCAGTAGTTCAAGAGGCAGCTCACCAACACCTTCTCAAGGACAATTATGGATTGGCAATAAACGCTAGTCCAATCAGTGATCTCCATATCCCATGAATGAATAAATGAAAGACTATTATTTGTAACTTGGTGATTGAAGTAGAGTCATATTGGACTTGAAATGTAACTGTTTCTCTCTCTACAAATACTGCCTGACCTACTGAGTTTTCTAGCACTTTCACCCTTTAGTTCAAATTTCCAGCATTTGCAGCATTTTCGTTTTATAATATGACTGTTTTTAATTACAGGTTTCAGGAACATTCACAAATAGACACTTCATCCTGAAATAGTTAAAGGTGTACAGGATTGTATGCCATGAACATCAGGAATCATTTTTTGTACAGCTCCCTATTTCTATTTGTATTTTGCAAAATATCTCTGGAGAACTGAGTTTAAGTGAATTAACAACAATAGTATTGTTCAACCAGTAATCCACTGAGGTTTAGTGACGGTGAATTTAACAGTATATAACTGATAAACATCATAATCAGTACAACACCAAAGTAATCCAGTGTAAAGTTGAATATTTTATGAGCAGTTTTTAGTGACAAACATACAACCTTTGCAACAGATAGTCAGTCACAATACCTTTTTATTTAGTTACTGGCATCGTTTATATCCTATTTACATCAAAAGAACTAAATATGTGATCTTATACTTACCTCTAATATAAATCTTCTGCCTCTGAATTGTCTCTTCCTGAGTGATAATGTTTTCCGCTGCGCATTCATAAGTTCCAGATTGATCCAGAGACACACTTTTGATTGTAAAATTCAAAGCTACTGAATACTCTTTGGTGTTTATCCCATTCATGCTGAGGTGATACACTGTATGATTGTCCCTGCTCAGAAGACGGCAAGTAATATTCGAGTATAAAAATTTGTTGGCTCGGCAGAATAGAATCAGGTCATCACCTTCAGTAGGCAATGCATCATGTCCCACTCCAATCTCAAATCCAAATTCGTTTGGTATATCTAATAAGTCAAACAAAAATGTTTGGTCAATAAAATAGACATTTTCAATATCAGCATCATGGAATACAATTAAAATCACAATATAACTGCTGCAATGGTCTAGTTGTTCAATTCACCTGGTAGTCAAGCCACTAAACCCTGGTGAATTATTAATATTAATCTTTAAATTTAAACCAAGTTTGCTGATTTCAACTAATAGTTAGCTACAGTGTCCTAGGGCTTCTAAGACAAAAGTCAGCCATGGTCTTCCCACTGAGTACTCCCCACATTCCCACTATAAGATCTTTCCAAAGACTCCTATTACAAAAATCACGTGTGAATGTCAATTGAGGACAAGAAACAGACTTGGCAGCAATAGCTTCTAAATTTGAAAGGCACTTTAACAGATTCAACAGAACTTCTAACAAACGTGGACCTGTACACCAGCAAGAACCAGAGTTAAGATCATAGCAAGGGAGAGATCATGATGGATCCTATATTTTATTCAAAAGGAATCTAACAGTTTTTAATACAATATCTGTGACAGTAATCCTTAATAATGACTCATGAAAAAAGTGGTCTCATTGGAAGATTCTGTAATTATACTTTGTGTGGTGCACATTTGTGTGCAGAAGAGACAAGTTCTAAATACACACAAGAATAAAATGATAATACTTGATAAAGTTTTGACTTGTTTGCCAAGAAATGTTGTGCTTGGATCAGGATTGTGCTTAGATAAAAAAAAGTCCTGTAGCCTACAGATAAAAATAGGCAAGTGGTTAGCCTTTGCACCACTGCTGCCATTTAATTGTTCATTCAGCAATTCAACATAAGCACAACAGAAAACTCACAACAAAAATAAATAAACTGATACAGAAGTGATTAAATGTCTAAAGCTTGCAACTTGCTGTAGATGGAATTTGGCAGTGATTTCACTGTGTTTACATGATAAAGCAAAGAATATAAAACTACATAATTTTATGCCAAGATCAGAATTTTGCAATTTATGCACTCTGCTTGGATCAGGAATTTTATACAAAAGTGGAGGTGGGATGGAATTTTCAGCATGGATCAGAAATATGTTTACTTTAGGTGCGCATTCATTTGGAATGGGCTATACATGCAAATATAAATGAAAGATATTGCAAATATCGTACAGAAACTAACAGAGATCAGGGTACAAGTATGCATTTGCTTCATTTTTAACATTTCCCCTTAGGTATAACTCCAATATTCTTTCACATTATTCATTGTCCATCAATACCATTATTTTTTTAAGATTAATTTTTTTCATAATAGTGAGATGTGAAAAATCTGTATTGAGTTAATTATGTTTTCAATGTCTTTGTGACTCAGTTTACTGAGAATTAATCCATTCTTCATGCAATTAAAAATTCAGAAGAGAATCAATAAAAAGCAATTATATGACCAGTGTGACAAAAAAGGTGTTTTAAACAATTTTGTAAACAAAACATCAGTAAATGAAATACATGATGTTGATGCAGACAAAGTGGTCTATGAAGCTAGATTAATGACATGTTTTAAACATAAAATAAAAGATTCAATTTAAATACTTTTGAGGGATTCAGAAGTGCAACTCAAGCCTTCAGAAGGTTAACCCATGTCTTGGACCCAAGAATAGTATTAACCAATTTGTTCAATGTTTAAAAAGATGTTGGTATGTTTGGACCATTCACAGATTTTCGGTTAACTATAAGACAGGATTAACCGAAGGAAAAAAACAATAGCCTTATTGCTTTTGACAATCTTCCTGCAAACTAACCAACACACTTTGAAATAATTTAAAGGGAATTTATTTACTTAAGTGATTTGAAACTTCCTGTGGAAATAGCTCACAGGTTTCCTGATGGAAGATATTGTTTATCTTTGCCAAGCGCCATCAAGAATCTCAAAACAAAATGCATTTAGTGACACTGGAAAATCTCTGAGATAAGGCAGTCCTGTTCCTGTCTCACCCATAATAATTACTAACACACCCACAGCCATGTTGAGTGCCAGCAGAGAAGAAGGGCAATGAACTGGAAGCTGAGAACTTGCTCTATACAAAAACATAAGATCAACAGTACAGCAAACACCGAAGACTCAGTGACCGGATTTGAAATCTATCCTACATGTCACACTATTTCATCTGTCCTATAACTTTGGGTCCATACCTGATCTTTAGGTTAAAGTCAATGCACAAAGAAGACACAAAAAATTCTTATTTTTCTTGTCCTTTTCTGAAAGTGCTGGATTTCTCTGAGGTATGGTTTCTTAGGGATCAAGAGATCTTTGCATCCCAGAGAAATGACCATTCTTTTGGAACCTACAGAGTGGATTGGGTGGGGGAACTTCCACTTCCTCACTCTTGGTACACACTGGGAAAACGTTTTGGGAAATTGCACAAGCTGAGTTCGTGATTTTCCATCCATAAATTTTAGTGGATGGAAAACTCCCATGTGCTATTTCCTGCAATGCAATCTCAGCCTGAACCAGAAGCAGAATATCCCACCTGAGTGTTCACAGCCATAGCCAAGTGCAAGTTAGTCCTCTCTCAGAATACATCCTCAATAATAGAGGAACCAAGCACATTTGTGCAAATAATACAGCTAAATTGTTTACAAACGTTCTAAACCAAAAATGCCAGGTGAATGATGCATCTCAGCATCCTGCCCAGTTCTCCACCATTACAGAAGTCAGTTGGTTTGATTTATTCCAAGTGATACCAGTAAACAGCACAAAACTTAATCAATGGTATGGACACCTATACCTTCCCAGCTCTGATGTTGTATAATTGAGTTCCAGAATTAGCCAAGCTCTTCCAGTCCAGTTACAACACTGGCATCTACCCAACATGGTGGAAATTTGCTTAAGTTTGTCCTGTCCACAAAAAGCATGTCAAACTCAATCCAATTACTACCCAACAGCTTACTCTTAAACATTAGCAAAGTGATGGACGGAGTTCTTAACTACTTCATGGGTAATGTTCAGTTTGTGTTCTGCCAGGGACCTCCAGAACCCACTGCAGCCTGTTCCAAATCCAAACATAAGAATTGAATTTTAGAACGTATCAGAGACCTACTGGCTTAATAGTGATTTGATCAAGCGTGATATCAAGGAAGCCTTGTAAAACTGAAGTAATTAGGAATCAAGGGAAAATTCTCTAGTGGTTGGAGCCAAGTCTAGTAGAAAATAAGCTGACTGTGGTTGTTGAAAGCCAATCATTTCAACATCATGACCAGAATATCACTGCACAAGTTCTTCGACAGTGTCCTAGGCCCAACAATTTTCAGCTGTTTTATCAATGATCTTGCCTCCATTATGGTCTACTCCTGCCCTAATTCCTTACTTCCTTATAATGTCAGAAGTGGAGACATTTGCTGATGATTGTACACTGTTCAGTTTTGTTGCCCATTTGTCAGACAATGAAGCAATGTGTGTCCTTTTGACCAAGACCTGTACATTACCCAGAATTGTGCTGAAAAGTGACAAGATGTGACAGGCAAGGCCATCTTCAAAATGGGACAGTCGATCTATCTGTCGTGCTGTTCAGTGGTATTATCATAACCAAATCCTCCACCATCAACATTCTGGGGATTACCATCAGTCACAAACTGAGTTGGATCAGTTACTTAAATATTGCAGCTCAAACAGCAGGTCAGAGGCAGGGAATTCTACAGTAAATAATTCATCTCCTGACTCCCCAAAGACTGTCCACCATCTCAAAGGCACAAGTCAGAAATGTAACTGGGATTACTCCAACTTTCTTGGATGAGTGCAGCTCCAGTAAAATTCATGAAACTCAACATCTGGGATAAAGTGGCCCATTTAATTGGCACATCATTCAGTAGCAGAAACACTGACTCTCTCAAGCAAAGGTGCACTGTGGCCGCAGTTTGAACCAACTACAATACATGATGTACTGAAGCAATTCTTTTTTTTAAAAAGACAGGCAAATCCATAACTTTTACCACCCATTTGGACAAGAGCAGCAGATGCACTGAAATACTGGCAGTATCATGTTCCTCTTCATGTCATACATCATGCTGACTTGGATATATATATGCATTCACTGACACTGCATCAAAATCCTGGAATTCCCTCCTGAATAGCACTTTGGAATTCCCTTACCAAAAGATTGCAGTTAGTTCAGAAGGTGGCTGACTACCCCTATTACACCTTTCTGTCTCCTGCTCATTCTCCAACTTCTGCTGCCTGTACATCACCTCTAACTGCTCTTCCATCCACTATCATTGTATTCAATCACTCCTTTTATCTCAATGTAGAAAAGTGGCTCACAGCCATACTGAGAGATAAAAGACCAGCAGAGAGGGTGGACATGAGGCCCCTGAATCCTTGAGGAAAATATCATGGATTTGACTGGAGAAGAACATAATCACCCATCCAGGCAGACCTCCATGGGTCTTCATTGTGCTTGGTTGTGCTGCTATTCTAAAAACACCAATGCTAATTCATTCTTTATATGAACAAGTTTTTATCCCTCTTACAGTCAGCTGTTGAGGCTGAGTTGTTAAGGATATTCAAGGCTGCAATAGACAGATTTTTAATTATTAAGGGAATCGAAGGTTATAGGGAACAGGGAGTAAAGTGGAATTCAGGATTATCAGATCAGCCATGATCTCATTGAATGCTGGACCAGCATCTGGTGGTCCTATGGTGAAAGCACACAGATAGATGCAGGAACAGCAGGCTGGTTCATCAGAGGCAGTCAGTAAACTGGATGAAAGGATAATGGAGTCCAATAACGTTATCAGTACTGTGCTTGCCCTGGCATTCATGTGTTACAGGCTGCCTCAATGGACAGCATGACAACTGCCATAGAGGGCCAAGTCTGGGGCACTCAGTGCCTGCCGGTTACATGAATAGATCTGCATTCCATGGATGTAGGCATTGGTTTCCCAGCATCAATGACAAAGTGAGTGGGAAACGAGAGACTTTCACTTCGAGGCTTGCAAACAAGGACTGGTTAGGTATGGCCAGTCATTTGGATATACAGCCTA